TGGCCTCTTCGGGTCTTCCTGAAGCCCTCTTGGAGCCCTCTTGGGCCTTCGTGGAGACCTCTTGGGGGCATATTGTGCCACCGTGGGTCAGCTTAGAGCCATCTTGGGCCGTCTTGATCGCATCCTGGCCCGCTTGACGCCGTCGGAAGCCGTCTTGGGGGAACTCTCTGGGCCGATTTGGGGCACCTTTGGCGTGCTCCAGGGCCGTCTTGGAGACCATCTTGTGCGGCTTGGGGGCCTCTTGGGCCGTTCTGGGGCCATCGTGGAGGCCTCGGGCAGTCGGAAGGCCGAACAAAAGCAAATGCACACATTCGTTTACACAAAATACAACGGGAAATCAATGAGTTTGGCTTTGTTGGGCCTCTTTCTGGAAGACCTCTTGTGGGCCTAGGCTTCGTGGGGGTCTCTTGAGCCGCCTGCCATCATCTTGAGGCCATGTTTGGCCGTCTTGGAGGCTCCTCGAGCAAACTTGGAGGCATCTTGGACGCTCTTGGGCCGTCGTGGAGGCAATATTAGACCACATTGAGCGAACTAGAAGACCATCGTGGCCGTCTTGGAGGCCGTCTTGGGTCATCTTGGAGCATCTGGAGCGGAAAAACCGTTTGCAACCACCTCTGGGCAAGAACTTCCTGAAATCTGGCGCGCCAGGTACCCTTGTGGCAAGCCAACAGGGGGAGGCGGATCGAAGACGCCTGCGGCGAATCACCGCCGCCCCCTGCCTTTTGGAATCGCCCATGTGGCTGAGCGTTGTGACAAGAGCTCTGCCAAGCTATCGGACCATGGGTTCCCAAAACTGTTGTGGAAACCCTTCGGGGAACACTTGGGAGAGGATGGCGGGTAAGATCAGCATGAGAAGGAGGAGGAGGAGGAGGAGAAGGAGGAGGAGGAGGAGGGGAAGGAGGAGAAGGAGGAGGAGGAGAAGGAGGAGGAGGAGGAAGGGGCATCTTGGGAGCCTCTGGGGGAACTCTTGGGGCCTCCTTGGAGCTTCTTGGGAGCCTCTTGGAGGTATATTCGGGGCCTCCTTGGGCCTCTTGGGGCCTTTGGGGGCTTCTCGGGGGCCTCTTTGGCCGTCTCGGGGCATTCCTGGCCCGTCTGACGCTGTCGCAAGCCGTCCTGGGGACCTCTCTGGGCCGACTTGGGGCCCCCTTGGGGTGGTCCAGCGCCGTTTTGGAGGGCGATCTTTGGGCTCTTGGACCGTCTCGGACCGTCGGAAACCTAAGGGCAAATCAATGGTGTTTGTTTCTTCGGGCCTTCCTGGAGGCCCTCTTGGAGGCCTCTTGAGCCGTCTTGGTTGGAGACCTCTTGGGGGCCTCTTGAGCCGTCTTGATGGCATCCTGGGCCGACTTGGGACCCTCTTGGGGTGCTCCAGAGCCGTCTTGGAGACCATATTAGGCGTCTTGGAGGCCTCTCTGGCCGTCTTGGCGCCCTCTTGGGGACCTCTTGGGCCGTTCTGGGGCCATCCTGGAGGCCTCTTGGGCGATCTTCGGGCGATCTTTGGGGGCTGTTGAGCCGTCCAGGGCCGTCGGGAAACCGAAAAGAAACAAATGCCGAAATCCTTCAAAAACCTGTGGGAAATTAATGATGTTTGCCTCTTCGGGCCTTCCTGGAGGACCTCGTGGAGACCTCTGGGGCCGTCTTGGAGGCCTCTTAGGGGCATTTTGGGCCGTCTGCCGTCATCTTGAGGCCGTCTTGGGCGAAACGGTCATTCTTATCGTAAGGCGTCTTGGGCTGGGATCCCCAAAATCGTAATGTCTTGAGGATGTCCCGAGCGAAACGGCCGTTTTTGGACGTGGGTTGCGCAGCGGCCCGGTTTTCTGGGTGACCGGCGGGACGCGCCGAAGCCCCAAGGGAGAGTTCTTCTGGAAGAAAAAACCAAAAACAAGCCGTAAGAATTTCAGCACGCCCAGCACACCTACCAAAGGGGCCGCGGATCGAATTGCCTTCTGCCCATCCAGCTATCTTGCCTGGGTTGTAAGTATGAAGCCTGTTGGATGTTCGTTGGGATCTCGTGGGGGGCATCTCGGGGGCCTCTTGGAGGCAGTCTGGACGCCTCTTGGGGGCCGTTTTGGGGCCTCCTTTGACATCTTTTGGCCTCTTCGGGGCCTCTTGGGGCCTCGTTGGGCTTCCTGGGCGCCTCTTGAGGCCTTCTGGGGGCCTCTTGGGGCGGAGGTCACGCGACAAAATACAGGGAAGCCCAGGGATCACGCAGGAAGCCCCAGGGGGCAAGCGCCAAGCCCCGGGAGATTTGAGAATTTCGGGTCCGGGCTCCTTGAAGACTCCTCAGGAATGCGGATTGAGGCTTGGAGGATCAGGCAAGGGACGTCCTTCCGTGCCCAGGGACACTGTGGCGGATTCTGCAGTTCGCCAAGACGCCCAGGATGGGCCCGTAGCAGATGGGGTCGAGGGATCGCGCCGCAGCGCCGATGAGTCGTCGATGCGGCCCGATCCAGAACCCGACTCTATTCGTCCCGACGTCGCCGATGCACCAGCAATGTGGTGCGATCCTCCGTCCGCAGTAGTTTTGGCCCCATGCGTGCGGCCTCCGAGTTCGAGGAACGCCTCCAGGCGTCCGCGTTGGCTCAAGGATGCGCCTCTGACGTTCTTGTCCTGAGATTTTGTCATGGATGGCATGGTAGGCTGCATGAGAGGCGACGGGAACGAGACGGGTAGGGGGGCAACATCTTGCAGCTCCCATGCGGTTGGGTTGCTTGTGCCAATTCGCACACACACACACACGCACACACACACATGCGCCAGTACGGTGCAGGATTCGGGCCAGTCGAGCGATTGGCGAATCGCGTTGCTTTTTATGCTAAGCTGGGGGTCGCAAGGGGGTTAAGCACAATCATCCAGAAGGCCAGCGAAGGAGAGCGTCCATCCAGCGGAGGCGGGGCATAGCATGGCAGTAGCAACTCGGCAGTCCGCCCCCGCGCGCTGAGCGAAAGTTTGCGGCGGAAGAGGGAGCGCCGTGCAGCGTGCTGCGCCGTTGTTCGTTCTGCTCGTCGAGGCCAGCTCATCGTGTCGTTCGGCTTCGACGAAGGATTGCAAAACAAAAACCCTTCCTTGAACGAAGGATTGAAGGATTGCAGAAACAAAACCTTCCTTGAACGAAGGATTGAAGGATTGAGGGTTTTTTGCAATCCTTCCTTCTGGAGTAGAGCAGCGCATCAGTGGACGACGTTCTAAGGCAGACGCGGGCATGGGGCAGAGAGAGCTCGGAGGTCCAAGCTCCTGGAGGAGAAGTACAAGGTCGCGATGGAGGCGTATCGATCTCTCGTTTCTTGCACGCGCGTCGTGTGGCTGGCTTGCCTTCCCCTTTCTCACGCAATCCCGCATGGCAGTGTTTCGCCTTCGGCTTCGGCATGCGATGTGACTGGTACATTGGCAACAGGTCGCCTACAGCATTGCGAGTTGTGGTCCGTCTCCACCCTATCGAATTATCCGTAGTTATGTTTCGGTATATAATGTTGTGCCGATCTTCCTTGTTGAGCGGACGAAGCCGCATACCAGCAAGCTGGAGACACGTGTGGTTTCATATCCCTAGCTCGTTCGTTGGTGCAGCCAACTCTGCCTCGCCGCCGACGGAAGAAGTGGTTTCACATCACTGGGAGGTTTCAGCCACTTACCATGGATGGCCAAGAACCGAAGAGAAGCAGGATGATGATGATGATGATGATGATGATGATGATGATGAGGAGGAGGAGGAGGAGGAGGAGGAGGAGAAGGAGGAGACAGAAGAGGGAGAGGGATGAGGCCGAACGGGATTGTCAGCTGGAGGGGGGTCTTGAACTGCCTCGGCCCCTGTGCGCACTCACTGCGATGTTCGTGGTCGAAGAGCAAGACAGCAGGTCGTTTTCTGTTGTCCTGCACCATGTGTGGAGCTCGTGTATTACAGCCTCGGCTGCTTGGAAGTACCCCCGCGAGACAGCCAGGCACTGCTCCCGTTCGTGATTTCTCGTGCTTGGCTGAGGGTGAGCACGACAGTGCCACAGCGCGGCACCATGCGCGACGCGTGCTCTGCCTCCATCCTTCTCCCTCGTCGCCCTCCTCCGCCTCTCCCTCCAGGTGTTCCTCGTAGTGGCTACCCTTCCTTAACGTCATCATTCCCCGTCGCCCCTTTGCCTCCTCGTTCTCCTATTCCTCCTCCTCCGCCTCCTCATCGTGCTACATGTTCTTCAATTCCGATGTCCGCATGGGGCCTTCGGCGAACGCGTGCTTCTTAATAGTGGCGGTATGCATGCTGACGCCCGTGCGTGTTCTTTGTTCGTGGTGGTTCCATTGCAATGGGCTGGGGCTGAGGTCAGGGTTAACGCGTGCTCAAGCTAGGGCTGAGGGCTGAGGCAGCGGCTTGGGCCGAGGCTAGGTCACAGGGCTAAGATGGGGATTGTATGCTAATCGAGCGCGAGAAGATTTTTTGCTAGGGAACAGCCCATCCATGTGTTTCGTTACCGGTATCAGTATGGGGCCTTCTGCACGCGTGTGTTCATCGGTATTGGCGGTATGCAGACAAACGACATTGCATGTGATTATTCTTTGGTGTGTCCATGCTGCTACGGTTGTAGGCTGGGGCTGAGGATTCGGCCTTGGGCTGAGGTTATGGCTGAGGGCTAGGGCAATTGGATTGAAGTGTGAAGCGAGTGGCAGGCGTGAGGTGCCGCAGCAGAAAGGATTTCACGATTACGACTCAGAAGGTCAACAAGATCAGGTAACACTTCGGAAGGATACCGATCTGATCTGATGGCGTCGACGTTTTGGCCGGCAAAGGGTGCTATGTTCTTGAAGGTTGTTTTATATTCATACACATTCAGATTGTATCCTTTCCTACTCCCGCCCGCCCTGGCTATTGCTTAATCCTCGTTCTCCTCGGCCCCCTCGCTGCTCGCTCTGCGTCGTCATCTTCCCTCCTCTCTCCTCCCCAAATCCATCCTGCGCATTCCGCTTCCACGATCCCGTTCTTGTGTTATCCATCTGCGCAGTCGCAGGAGCGTAAGCGTCTCCACAACCTCGTGCTGGACCTGAAGGGCAACATCCGCGTGTTCGTCCGCGTGCGGCCCATCAACCCGAAGGAGCAGGTCCCCCTCCCTCCCGCCGACCCTCCATCCCGCTCCTCGCACCCTTCCTCATCCCACCACTCCTCATTCCCATCCTCGTCCTCCTCCAACTGATCCTCGCTGTCCTCCGCCCTGCTGCTCCTCCTGCCATCTCTCCTCCTCCTCCTTCCAGTCCTCCTCCTTCTAGTCCTCCTCCTCCTCGTTCTCCCCCTCTTCATTATGCTCTCCTCCCACTCCGCACCACACTGCTACGCATCCTCCTCCCTCTGGGCCCCTGGGACTGGGACAGTAACAGCACATCATGCCCCAATGCGGACAAAACCGTCGTCCCCCCTCCTGGGTACGTATCCCAGTCCTCCCCCCCTCCCTCCTCTGTATCAGTCTCATCCTCGTCCGCATCATCCCCCTCGTCGTCTTCCATCGGACCTGTCTCTCCAGAGGCAAGCCAATAACCTAGGTATCTAAGAGGGTTCATTCCGTCGAACCCCGAGAGGTCGACGGGATGGTTGTAATCCGGGTTGCTTGGTTTGCCTGGTCAGAGTAGAGCGCAGGAGGACGACGGAGAGCGATGCGATAATCAGGAGGGGCCGTGGGACAGGAGGTGAAGGGGGGGCGGGCAGGATGTAGGGAACTTGTTATGGCCATGTCCTCAGAGTTGCGTCTTTTCAGTCTTATTGGAGGGCTTATTTTGGGAAGTGGTGGTAGTTAAGGCCCTCCTTGAGGGCTCGAAGAAGCAGTTGGATGGCATGGAGGCGAGTGGAGGTGAGTGGCGTTGAAAGTTTGAGCTTTAGATGGATGTTTGTGTTACTTCATGTTGATAGTCCGAACACAAGAAAACAGCGAGCACTGAGCCCGCAAAGCAGCTTGCTATTGAAAATTCAACGGTTTGTGGGCGGGTTGTTCCCAACCATCCTGTGGTGTTGGGTCCTCGTTTTGACGAGACGGTCCCCGCGTCCCTCCTCCCCCCTTCTTTCCTCCCCCTCCCCCTCCTCCTCCTCCTCCTCCGCCTCCTCCTCCTCCTCCTCCTCCTCCTCCTCCTCCTCCTCCTCCTCCTCCTCCTCCTCCTCCTCCTCCCTCCCTGCGTTTCACCCACCCAGTATAGCGCTTCGTGGCCCCACAGGGAGCTCCACCGAAGCCCCCACTGGGACTGCCCGCGTGCGCCCCCGAAACCCAATTGGGCATTTTCACCCACCCAGTACAGCGCTTTGTGGCCCCATAGCGAGCTCCACCGAAGCCCCCAGTGGGACCGCCCGCATGCGCCCCGGAAACCAAACTTTGCATTTTCAGCCACTCAGTACAGCGTTTCGTGGCCCCATAAGGGAGCTCCACCGAAGCCCCCAGTGGGACCGCCCGCATGCGTCCCGGAAACCCAATTTGGCATTGTCACCCACCCAGTACAGCGCTTCGTGGCCCCACAGGGAGCTCCACCGAAGCCCCCATTAAGACCGCCCGCATGCGCCCCACACAACCAATTTGTCATTTTCACCCACCCAGCACAGCGCTTCGTGGCCCCATAGGGAGCTCCACCGAAGCCCCCACTGGGACTGCCCGCGTGTGCCTCGGAAACCCAATTGGGCATGTTCACCCACCCAGTACAGCGCTTCGTGGCCCCATAGCGAGCTCCACCGAAGCCCCCAGTGGGACCGCCCGCATGCGCCCCGGAAACCAAACTTTGCATTTTCAGCCACTCAGTACAGCGCTTCGTGGCCCCATAAGGGAGCTCCACCGAAGCCCCCAGTGGGACCGCCCGCATGCGTCCCGGAAACCCAATTTGGCATTGCCACCCACCCAGTACAGCGCTTCGTGGCCCCACAGGGAGCTCCACCGAAGCCCCCATTAAGACCGCCCGCATGCGTCCCACACAACCAATTTGTCATTTTCACCCACCCAGCACAGCGTTTCGTGGCCCCACAGGGAGCTCCACCGAAGCCCCCAGTAAGACCGCCCGCATGCGCCCTGGAAGCCCAATTGAACATTTTCACCCACCCACTACAGTGTTTCGTGGCCCCATAACGAGCTCCACCGAAATCCCCAGTGGGACCGCCCGCATGCATCCCAGACACCGTTTCCCTCCCTGCTTTTCACCCACCCAGTACAACTTTTCGTGGCCCCATAGCGAGCTCCACCGAAGCCCTGGGACCGCCCGCATGCGGCCCAGAAACCAAATGTGGCACGCCCCTCATACGTTTCGCGGCCCTATAGGGAGCTCCCACCGAAGCCCCCTGTGAAAGAAACCGCCCGCATGTCTTCCACACACCCACTTTGGCATTTTTCACCTACACAGTACAGCGCTTCGTGGCCCCGCAGGGAGCTCCACCCACGGCCCCAGTGGGACCGCCCGCATGCGTCCCGAAAGCCGAATTTGGCTTTTTCACAAACCCAGTGCAGCGCTTCGTGGCCCCATAGCGAGCTCCACCACCGCCAATGGGACCGCCCGCATGCGTCCCACAAAACCAATTCGGCATGCTCACCCACCCACTACAGCGCTTCGTGGCCCCATGGGAAGCTCCACCGACGGCCCAAGTGCAACCGCCCGCATGCGTTCCCCCCCACCCATCGCAGCGCTTCGTGGCCCCATAGGGAGCTTCACCGAAGAAGATATTCACAACTGTGGTACCCACAACTGCATATGGCCGGGTCTTTCGTCTGGATAATTTTCAAAATGCGTCTCTCGCTTCAGCGGTACGCACATTCGTTAAAGCATCGTGGCAAAAGGATCCATCCATATGCAGTTGTGGGTACCAGAATCGTGACTTCCCTTCTCGGTGAAGCTCCGTATGGGGCCACGAAGCGCTGCGCTGGGTGGGGGTGAACGCATGCGGGCGGTAGCACTGGGGCCGTCGGTGGAGCTCCCTACGGGGCCACGAAGCGCTGTACCGGGTGGGGGTGACGCATGCGGGCGGTAGCACTGGGGCCTTCGGTGGAGCTCCGTATGGGGCCACGAAGCGGTGTACTGGGTGTGTGGGACGCATGCCGGTGGCAGCACTGGGGCCGTCGGTGGAGTTTTCTATGGGGCCACGAAACGCTGTACTGGGTGGGGGGCACGCATGCGGGCGGTATTACAGGGACCCTCGGTGGAGCTCCCTGTAGGGCCACGAAGCGCTGCACTGGGTGGGGGGGAACGCATGCGGGCGGTAACACCGTCGTGGAGCTCTCTATGGGGCCACGAAGCGCTGTATTGGGTGGGGGGGGGGGGGGGGGGGCGAATGCGGGCAGTAGCACCGAGGCCGTCGGTGGAGCTCCTCATGGGGCCACTAAACGCTGCACTGGGGGGGGACGCATGCGGGCGGTAGCGCGTGGGCCTTCGGTGGAGATCCCTATGGGGCCACAAACGCTGGGGGGGGGGGCGCCCCCCCCACACCCATGTCGGCACATCCCTCACACATTTCGTGGCCCCATAGAGAGCTCCACCGAAGGCTCCAATGCCACCGCCCGCATGCGTTCTCAATACTCATGTCGGCACACCCCTCACACGCTCCGTGGCCCCATACGGAGCTTCACCGAAGGCCTCCGTGCTACCGCCCGCATGCCACGAAACGCTTTACTGGGTATGTGGACATGCCATCGTGTGTGTGTGTGTGTGTGTCTGTGTGTGAGTGTGGGAGTGTGAGAGTGTGAGAGTGCGAGAGTGTGAGAGTGTGAGAGTGTGAGAGTGTGTGAGTGTGTGAGTGTGTGAGTGTGTGAGTGCGTGAGTGTGTGTGAGTGCGTGCGTGTGTGAGATTGTGAGTGTGTGAGTGTGTGAGTGTGTGAGTGTGTGAGTGTGTGAGTGTGTGAGTGCGTGCGTGTGTGAGTGTGTCAGTGTGTCGGTGTGTCAGTGTGTCAGTGTGTCAGTGTGTCAGTGTGTCAGTGTGTCAGTGTGTCAGTGTGTCAGTGTGTCAGTGTGTCAGTGTGTCAGTGTGTCAGTGTGTCAGTGTGTCAGTGTGTCAGTGTGTCAGTGTGTCAGCGTGTGAGCGTGTGAGTGTGTGAGTGTGTGCGCGTGTGTGCGTGTGAGCGTGTGCGCGTGTGCGCGTGTGCGCGTGTGCGCGTGTGCGCGTGTGCGCGTGTGCGCGTGTGCGCTTGTGCGCGTGTGCGCGTGTGCGCGTGTGCGCGCGTGCGTCTGCGTCTGCGTCTGCCACGAAACGCTGTACTGGGTGAGTGAAACTGTCAAATCGGGTTTTCGTGACGCATGCGGACGGTGGCATTGGGGCCGTCGGTGGATTTCCCTTTGGGGCCACGAAACGTGTACTGGGTAGGTGAAACTGTCCAATTGTGCGTTCGGGACGCATGCGGACGGTGGCACTGGGGCCTTCGGTGGAGCTCCCTATGGGGCCCCGAAGCGCTGCACTGGGTGGGTGAAAATACCAAATTGGGCGTTCGGGGCGCCTGCGGACGGGGTGGCACGGGGACGTTCGGTGGAGCTCCCTTTGGGGCCACGAAGCGTTGTATTGGGTGGGCGAAAATGCCAAATTGGGTTTTCGAGGCGTATGCGGCGGTGGCACTGGGGCCTTCGGTGCAGCTCCCTATGATGCCACGAAGCGGGTGAGGGGTGTGCCAAATTTGGATTCCGGACGCATGCGGGCGGTCCCATTGGGGGTTCGGTGGAGCTCCTTATAGTAGGGCCATGAAACATTGTACTGGGTGGGTGAAAGGCAGGGAGGAGGGGGAAGAGGGAGGATGGGGAGGAGGAAGGAGTGAGGAACGCGGGGCGCTGTCTCTTCAAAACGAGGACCCAACACCACATGATGGTTTGGAAAAATGCAAGAGCATCACAGATTGAGGGCGGGTGGTTTTCAAAATATGATTATCGCCGTAGGGCCGCGAACAATCGTGTCAAATAGAACAAGAGTTTCACGGATTGAGGGCGGGTAGTTTTCAACATGCGGTTATGGCCGCAGAGCCGCGCATTTTCGCTTTAGACATTCACGGGTTGAGGGCGTTTCCTTTTTACAATGCGGCTCTCGTGCCGCGCACATTCGTCTTGAACAGTTGCAAAAACGCCACGGCTTTTCTCATGGTTTACGTATCAGAAGTGTGCGTTGTAGCGAGTTCAGACTGTCAGGGCGCAACCGTTACGTTGATTCGCGGTGTTGAAATCCCAGGAATGGTGTTCTGGCACGAGTCGGGATCGCCAAGACGCAAAACTCAGGTTGATGTGTGGCGTTGACGTCCCGAGAATGGCGTTTGGTACGCTTTAGGATCTTCAAAGGGCTGTCTCCACACGTGGCAATTTCCTCAGTGGAAATGGATCCTTTTAGGTGCCTATGGGAGGGAGTTTGGAGGGAAGGAGTATTCCGACATCGATGATGAGTCCTGGGTTTACATTGTTCCTCATCCTCATCTACCTTCTTGTCCTCCTCTTCCTCCTCGCTCCTCTTCTCATCCATCTTTTTCCTTCTCCCATTTCCTCCTCACCCTCCTCCTCCATTTTCCTCTGTACCCTCCTCGTGAAACCTCCGACTCCCCATTATTCCCTACCTAGGCTCTGCCTAGAAGGGTTCTTACTCTGTTTGCTTAAAGGGCCGGGTAGTGGGGCACGCCCCGGGCGGTTCCCCTGGCATCCGCCCCGCGGTTCCCCCAGTGACGGTCCCTTAGCTTCGCGTTGTTTATCTCATCTTAGCTTAGCTTGTTTCATCTTACCTTAGCTTAGCTTCGTCTTACCTCAGTTTTGTCTTAGCTTACCTGCATCTTAGCGTCGCTGATATTTAGCATAGCAGAGCACATCATAGCATAGCATAGCGTAGCATAGCATAGCGCAGCACAACATATCATAGCATAGCCCAGCATAGCATAGCATAGCGCAGCATAGCATAGCATAGCATAGCATAGCGCAGCACAGCACAGCTCAGCATAGCACAGCGCAGCATAGCATAGCAGAGCAGAGCACAGCATAGCACAGCAGCAAAGCAAAAGCAAAGCAACAGCAGCGACAGCAAAGCAAAGCATTAGCATGGGTGTATTTCTCTACCTAGGCTCTGCCTAGAGGGTTAGCTTAGCTTAGCTTAGCATAGCGCAGCGCTGCATCAGCATAGCATAGCATTGTATAGCATAGCCACGCATAGCATAGCATAGCACAACATAGCATAGCATATCATAACATACCATAGCATAACATAACGCAGCTTAGCATATCATAGCATAGCATAACATAGCTTAGCAGAGCACGGCGCGTCATGGCATATCATAGCATTTCATAGCATAGCATAGCAGAGCAGAGCGTAGCGTAGCATAGTGCAGCATAGCGTAGCATAGCATGACATAGCATAGCATAGCATAGCATAGCACATCATATCATAGCGCAGTATAGCATGGCATAGCATAGCATAGCATAGCATAGCAACTGATGCTGCTTTCCTAGGGGCTCCAGCTACTAGGTAGGGTCGCACTGGGGTAATTAGCATAACTACTGAAGTTGGTAGCCGTCCTCGTGCTCCCCCGTTCTCCCTCTTCCCTTCCTCCCTTCTCCCCCCTCCCTCCTCCTGCTCCCCCTCCCTCCTCCCCCACCCCTCACCCCCCCTCCCTCTCTCAGCCTTCCCCGTGAGGCCCCCGGTCTCTCCTTGCCAGGCGCACGAGGTCCCTGGCGAGCCTACCTGCGACTTCAAGGACGACAACCAGGAGGGGCCGCCGGGGGGGGGGGACACAATGCCGAGGGGGCATCGCGACCTAGGGGGGCCGCCGGCTCACGCCGAGGACCGAGGCTCGAGGACCGCGGGCCGCGCAGACGTCTGACGATCTGTCGGGGGCGAGAAGGTCCCGAGGCATCCTCCTCGAGGGAGCGGCGAGCCCCCCTGTGGTGGTGACCCGCCCTTGCACGGCCTGGGGACGCAGGCGGGGGGGAGGAGGAGGGAGGGGAAGGGGGGGGGGGGGGAAAGCGACAAGCGTCGCTGCGCTGAACTGTTTTCGCCCGTGTCCGAGCAGCTCGTTCCTCCCATGCCCAAGCGCCAAGTCCACGGGATTTGGTGAGCACTTGGCATGCAGCTCGATGGAAAGCCACTGGGGCGTAGGAAGACTTGAGGAGCTACGGTCAGGAAGGCACTCATGGCGTGACGCCTCGCCTGTCCGGGCCCACCATGCATCGGCGCGACACGCTAGCCAGTTTCCAGTCCCAAGCGCGAACGTCCCGAGCCGTTCCCAGCCTCCCACCCCGCGGAGCGGAGCGACACGCTCTATTAGCTTGCTGGGCACGGCGTGTCGGGGCTGCCGCCGCGACACGCTCGGCAAAAGTTTTTCCGACCGTGTAGGGGAAGGGGGGGGACGGATCGCGGCCAGATCGGCGGCCCACGAGGGGGCGCCAGTCGCGACGGCGGCGGCTGCCAGGGGCGCCACGCGGACCCTCGAGCCGGAAGAGTCCTGCCCTCGAGGGCCCCCGCCATGGTCGGCCGAGGGCGAGAGGAGGGCGGGAGGGGGGAGGAGGGCGGGAGGGGGGGGGCTGGGAGGATCGGATTGGGCTCGATGTCCAGTGCAAGCCAGCAGGGGCACGCAAACATCAGCACTCGGGTCGCAGGGGGACAGATGGGGAAGGAATCGCAAAGATCTGTTTCTGTGGCGCCCGAACCTTGTCAGCGAACCAGCTTCCCAGTACCCAAGCGCCCACCGGGAGAGCAGTGAGGGAGCGTAAGGGAGGAGCCAGAAGAGAGGAGTTCGTGGGTGGGAGGAGCTGGGAGCAGGTGGTAGGAGAGAGGAAGATCGTTGGCGTGGGCCCCCCCCCCGCCCCTCCACCCTCAGGAGGGGGGGGTGAGGAGTGAAGGTGGATGAGGAGGAGGAGGAGGAGCAGGAGGAGGAGGAGGAGGAGGAGGAGGAGGGGGAGAGGGGGCAGGGAGGAGTAAGGACGGATGAGTGAGCAGTGAGGATGGGTCAGGGAGGAGGAGGAGGAGGAAGAGGAGGAGAAGAGAAGAGAAGAGAAGAGAAGAGAAGAGAAGAGAAGAGAAGAGAAGAGAAGAGAAGATAAGATAATATAAGATAATATAGTGTAAGATAAGGGGGATAAGATAAGATAACATTTTATAAGGCAAGAGAATCCAAATCATTATAACTGAACACTATGTGATATAATATTTGATGATAGTACATAACAAGACAAGCTAGGGTAGTACAAACGGTTATAGTAGAGGAGAAGCGAAGAGAAGAGACGAGCAGATAAGAGAAGAGAAAAGAAGAGAAGAGAGGATCTGATAAGAGAAGATAAGGGTAAGGGATGTTGAGGGAAGCGAAGGCGTAGGGGGGCCGAGAGCTCCCGCGCTGCTCACTGTTCTTGTGTCCGAGGCCGAGACTTGCGGTGCCCCCTCCCCTGTAGGGCCTGCGCTTGTCCGTTTGTCACAAACCCCACGAGCGGCCCGCCGCCGTTAGCGGGCGAAGCGAGCTCGCGGAGAGCGGATTCCCGCCCGCCTCGGCTTGCGTCGGTAGTTTTCTTGATTCCCCGTCTTTTCCTCTCCCCCTCTCTTGGTCGGTGGTTTGGAAAAGAAGTGGAGGCAGAATGGGACGGAGAAAGAGGGGGAGGAAGAGGAGAAGGAGGGGCAGGAGGAGGAGGATGAGGAGGAGGAGGAAGAGTTAGAGGAGAGGGAGGGGTTCGGGCAAGTTAAGTGCGCTCGCGTCAACATCTAACATCCTACCCCTTCCTCCCATCCGTTACCATGGCGCTGATTTTCTCTATCCGCGGACGCGTGTCGTAGCGGACCTATGGCTCCGCGCGCGTGTGCGTAGTGGGTGGTGGTGCGCGTGCGTGCGTGCGTGTGTGCGTGGTTGTGGTTGTTGTGGTGGTGTGTATGTGTGTGTGTGCGTGTGTGCGCGTGTGCTGTGGTGTGACGTCGTGTGGCGTCTTGGTGGTTTGGTGGTGGGCCAGGTGCGTACGTGCGTGATGGCGGTGGTGGCGGTGGTGGTGGGTGTGTGTGTGTGTGTGTTGTATGTTGTGTGTTGTGTGTTGTGTGTTGTGTGTTGTGTGTTGTGTGTGTTGTGTGTTGTGTGTGTTGTGTGTGTTGTGTGTGTTGTGTGTTGTGTGTTGTGTGTTGTGTGTTGTGTGTTGTGTGTTGTGTGTGTGTGTGCGCGCGCGTGCGCGCGCGCGTGCGCGTGCGTGCGCGTGCGCGTGCGTGCGCGCGCGCGTGCACGTGCGTGTGCGCGTGCGCGTACGTGTGCGCGCGCGCGTGCACCTGCGTGTGCGTGCACGTGCGTGTGCGTGCGTGCGCGTGCGTGCGCGCGTGCGCGCGTGCGCGCGTGCGCGCGTGCGCGCGTGCGTGCGTGCGTGCGTGCGTGCGTGCGTGCGCGCGTGCGGGCGTGCGGGCGTGCGCGCGTGCGTGCGCGCGCGCGGGCGGGCGGGGGGCGTGCGTGCGTGCGTGCGTGCGCACGCCGCGCGCGTGTGCAGTGTGCGTGTGCGTGTGCGTGTGCGCGTGCGTGTGCGTGTGAGTGTGCGTGTGCGTGTGCGTGGTGCGCGTGCGTTTGCGTGTGCGCGTGCGCGTGCGCGTGCCCGTGCGCGTGCGTGTGCGTGTGTGTGCGTGTGCGTGTGCGTGTGTGTGTGCGTGTGCGTGTGCGGCGCGTTGCGTGCGCGCGCGCCGCGTGCGTGCGCGTGCGCGGCGCGTGCGCGTGCGCGTGCGCGTGGCGCGTGCGCGTGCGCGTGCGCGTGCGCGTGCGCGTGCGTGCGCGTGCGCGTGCGCGTGCGCGTGCGCGTGCGCGTGCGCGTGCGCGTGGCGTGCGCGTGTGTGTGCGCGTGTCTGGGTGTGTGTGTGGGTGTGTGTGGGTGTGTGTTTGGGTGTGTGCGTGGGTTGTGCGTGCGCGCGGGCGCGCGGGCGCGCGGGCGGGCGGGCGCGCGGGCACGCGGGCGCGCGGGGGCGCGCGCGGCTGTGCGTGTGCGTGCGTGCGCGCCGCGCGCCCGCGCGCACCCGCGCGCCCGCGCGCCCGCGCGCCCGCGCGCGCGTGGTGCGTGTGCGTGTGCGTGCGTGCGTGTGCGTGCGCGCGTGCGTTGGCGTGTGTGCGTGTGCGTGTGCGTGTGCGTGTGCGTGTGCGTGTGCGTGTGCGTGTGCGTGTGCGTGTGCGTGTGCGTGTGCGTGTGCGTGAGCGTGAGCGTGAGCGTGAGCGTGAGCATGTGCGTGTGCGTGTGCGTGCGTGCGTGCGTGTGTGCGCGCGTGTGATGTGGTGTGACGCGGTGTAGCGTGGTGGTGTTGGGTGGGGTAGTGCGGTGGTGGTGGCGGTGCGCGGTGGTGGTGCGCGTGCGTGCGTGCGTGCGTGCGTTGGTGGGTGGAAGTGGCGGTGGGTGTGCGTGCGGCGGGGCGGGGGCGTGGTGCGGCGCGGTGGTGGCGGGCGGATGGGCGCGCGAGAAAGAGGCCCGCGCTGGGGCGAGAACGCCATCCTGAACGACGGAGGCAAAACACCCATCCGAAAATGAGGCCCACGCTGCAGCCAGAGCACGATTCGGAACGATTCGGGAGCAGAAATGAGGCCGGCGCCTCAGCGAGAGCAGCATTTTTTTTTTTTTAAAGCAGGCGAAAACCCAACTCCCGGGAATCCTGTGTGTAAAAAAACAGTACGCGGGGGGGGGTCGAATATTCCCTGGACGCCATCAGGGGAAGAGGGAGAGTAGTACTCATATTGAGTAATTGTGGAGGAGGATGGGGAGAAAAAGAAGGAGGAGGAGGAGGAGGAAAACTGGGGGGGAGGTGGAGAGCGGGGGTGTACACAGGTGAGAATATGAGGAGAAGGAGGAGAAGGAGGAGGAGGAGGAAAGAGACGAAGGAGAGACAAGCTCGAATGAAGAAGAGGACGAAAGAGGGTAAAGGAGGGAGGACGGAACGAAAGGAGGAGGATGATAAGGGATGGCGAGAAAGGAGGAAGGAGCAGTAGCGAAGAGGAGGATGAGGAAGAGTCAGGAGGCAGAAAGCAGGTGGGAAGGGGGAGGAGGAAGGAGCGAGCCGCTTTACGGGGGAGTGGTCGCCGGGCGGCCGCTGGCAAGGCCGGCATCTTCGACGAGCAGAAGCAGAGTCGCAAGTGGTACGAGTTCGACCAGGTGTCTTGCCTGCCGCTTGCCTCCCTCCGCCCCTGGTCCTCAACGGTTTGGGTTGTTGAGCGTGTTCGATTGTTCCCAACTTTCGTGTGTGAGGTCCTGTTAATGCATCAGGGTACTGCTGTTCCTTCAACCTCTCGCTAACACTTAATATGAATACTGCTCTCCTCTCTCCCCTGACTACGTGCGGGAGGGGTCCCGTCCCCTCCGCGTATTGATGTGTTACACGGGGTTCAGAAGGTGATGCAGCTAAGACGCTGAAATAAGGACCGCTTTGGGTTTGGAATGGCCTCGCTGTTCCTTGGGTCCTTCCGTGGTTGTTCCTGAATCACTTCTCGTGCACCTAGGCGCTTCTGGTGCCCAGAAAGGGCTTCATTTCTACTTTAGCGTTCCTTCTGGTAGTAGCTCGGCCGTATGTCCGATATGTGTGTGCAATTCGATTGTTTTTTCGGCGTTTCCAACAGATGTTCCCGCTGCAGCGTGGGCCTCATTTTCGGAACGGCGTTTTGTTCCCGTCGTTCAGAGTGTCGATCTTGTCCCAGCGCGGGCCACGTTTCTGGATCCGAGTCTTTTTTTCTGCGTTGTTAGCCCTCTCACTTCCCCTCCTCCGCCTTTCACTGGTCCTCCTGCTCCTTCAGTCCCTTCCGCTCCAGCTCCTGCCGCTGCTCGTGCCTCGGCCTCCTCGTTTCTCTTCTTCCTCATCTTCTGCCTCCTCCTGCTCAGCCGCCACCTGCTCCTCCTCCGCCTCCTCCGCGTCCCCCTCCTCCTCCGCCTCCTCCTCCTCCTCCTGACAGCGCACCTGGTGTTCCTGCTACACGGCGGCCAGCGCACTGGATGCGCAGCCGGGGCGGTGGGCTCTCGGGCGAGCCTCGGCGGGCAGGGGTACGGGGGGCTTGTCGGAGGCATATCGAGGATCACGCTCAGCGTTGCGGGGCGCGCGCCAGAGGGGCCCCTCCCTCGTCGGAGCGGGGAGGGGCGGGAGGCACCCGTACTTCCAGCGGGCTGATCTTTCCAATCCTGGCGTCTTTGTCTCCTCTTTTCGGCCTCCCGGGGCCGCTTCGGGGCCCCGGGGCATTAGGCAAATTAGAAGGAAGGATCTGGGCTGGAAAAAACAACCCGCGCATGCCCGCGGGTCAAACAAAAGCAAGGAGGGAGGGAGGCAAGGAGCGAGAGGCGAGAAGGAGTCTGGGGTCATCATGCTGAGCAGAGCGGCAGAGATGGCCAGGGAATGGCGGCAACCGCTGATCACTGCACAACTCTACGTGAAGAAGGCATTCGACCATGTCGATCACCGTGCCGCTTTCAAGGCCATGAAACTCAAAAAGATAGGGCTCCCTGAGATCGCGCTGGTTGAGGCGATCGGGCATCAGGGCTCCGTGTCATTCAATATTGGGCATGTCGCCTCGGACGAGATCGGCATGGACAGAGGCCTCCCGCAGGGTGCGCCAGGATCACCGCTGATCGTCACGATGAACATGGATATGGTGATCTGGAAGTTGGAGCCCCGCTGGAAGGCGCAGGGCAAGAGCTTCGGCTAGACCAGGCCAGCATCTGCACGTGATGGACGAGAAGGTGGTTTGGGGGGACAGCCTCAACTTTGTGGGCACGGCGGTTGATCTCACGGGTACACTTGGTCCTGCAATCACATACCGAGAGGCGCAAGCAAATAAGTGTTTGTTTATAAGTGGAGTCCAATCTTAATTTGCGGTTGGATCCACAAATCGTGCCGCCTGGGGTTGTTCCCGGGGGTTGTGTGGAGGCAGCGCTCCCCTGGAGTTCGAGCGCATGGACACCGACCCAGAGCCAGTGATAGCGATTTGGAGCGCAAGGGCAGCGGCCAAGGAGATCCGACTCCGCAGGGCGCCGCGGCAGTCGATCGACCAATGGTGGCGGTTCTTCCACAAGATGGGGCACCAGACGATCGACAAGTAGCGTGTCAATGTCGCGCAGCAGTGCCAGCAGAGAATCCATGGCTGGGCGGGTCATGCTGCTCAGTTGCCACCGGACAGACCTTCCGCTGCTGCGGCTGGCAGTGCTGGAGGTGGCGGCTGGCGCAGCACGCAGCTGGAGAATTGGCCTGGGCCGCATCAGCAACGCTTCAAGATCCGGCGCTGGGAAGAGCAGATGTGGACACCCACGCAAACACGAACTGGCTCGCCATGGCGCTCGACAGGGCTAGGGGGCCACATGCGAACCCTACCCCTACCCCCCACGATTTCTGAGGGGGAGGGTGGGGTTCATTTCATTCGGGAGCTCCCGAACGAAGTGAACCCCACCCTTCCCCTCAGAAATCGTGGGGGGTAGGGGTAGGGTTCGCATGTGGCCCCCTAAGGGCGGGCAGGAAAAACGGTGGTGCGCAGAACTGGCCCTGGGCCGCCGGCGAGGTCAGCAGATGTGGGGCTGGCACGGCCCCGCTCAAGGCTCTCAGCAGGCATCCAACGAAGATAGGGAAAGGAAGAAGGAGAGAGAGAGAGAGAGAGGGGAGGGGAAGTGGCGTCCAGTAGGAGGGGCAGGGTGGGGGACAGAAAGGGCGGGTGTTTTTCGCTCCGTGGCCGTGCGTTAAGCATGCTCCTGTTGAAAGAGGAAGGGGAGGGAGGGAGGGAGGGAAAACGGGCATACGGAGCTTCGTGGGCCCCATGAACCCATGAACGGCAGGGCCTTTTTTCACCGTGTTCGACCAAGCGTCTCTGAAAATGGAAACGGTAAAAAAACGGCGACCAGAAACGGCAACGAAACGGCTCCGGGATTGGAACCAGAGCCGGAAAAGAGACAGCGACGGAACCTGGAAACAAATGGTGACGGAACCTTCAGGAAAACGGCGAAACGGCGACGGTAACAAAACGGCCCTGTCGTTCCCAGGGCCCGCTAGAATACGGAGGGAGGGGGCGGGAAGGGGAAAGGCTTGGGGAGGGGGCGGGGGGGAGAGGTCCTCCTATCTGCTCTTTCCTCACGCATCCTTCCTTCTTCCTCTTTATTCCCCCCCTCCCCTCCCTTCTGCCTCCTCCGCGACCCTCAACCCCCCCCCCGCTCATCTCTCCCGTCCTCTGTCCACCAATTCTTTCCTCCCTGCCTTTCCTCCTCCTCATCCTCCCCTTCCTCCTCCTCGCCCTCCCCTTCCTCCTCCACCTCCGCCTCTTGCTTCACCTTCTCCTCCTTCTCCTGCTCCTCCTATTCCTCCTCCTCCGCCTCCGTCTCCTCAGCATCATCATCACCATCATCATCACCATCGTCGACATCATCATCATCATCAGCGTCAGCAGCATCATCATCACCATCAATATCATGATAGACATCATCATCATCATCATCATCATCATCATCATCATCATCATCGTCATCATCATTATTATTATTATTAGCATCATCGTGATCATCAGCATCATTATCATCGCACCTTCACCATCATTGTTATCATCATCATCATAATCATCATCATCCTCATTAGCATCATCACCACCATCATCAACGTCATCACCACCATCATCATCATCATCACCATCACCCCTTGTCTCCCTGTCCTCCCTCTGTCTCCTCTCCCCACCTAAACTGGAATTCGGTGGGGGGGCGCCGGCTGGCGAGGTGTTCAGCCCGTCGTCGATGCAGGCCCAGGCGCCGCGTCGTTCCCCTCCATCTCTTCTTTGCATTCGTCCATCGCTTCCTCCTCCTCCTCCTCTTCCTCCTTCTCCTCATCCTCATCGTCATCATCAGCATCGTCATCCTGCCCCTTCTACTCCTCCTCACTCTTCTGATGTGACCATCGCCATCGCCGCCCGCAGCGGTGGCCCCTTAACGGCGTCCACAATTGCAGAGGGGTTCGACTGTTGCTTGCGGGTGCCGTAGAGTTTGGGTCACTGCTCATTGCCCAGGCCATTGTAGAGTCGGTCTGATCGGTCTCTGGGAGCACCGAAAAATATAGTGGTTCTGCCGTTTGGATTCAGGTCTTTGGGCCATTGCTTGATCGCGGTTAGCTTTCACACCGACCAATTGTAGTTTCAAACCAAAGTCGGTTGGTTTCGTTGCGCTTGCAATCCAAATCAAGATCCATTTTGCCCAGTCGCAGTGAATTGCGTTCCGTGGTGGGGTCTGCCGGCGAGTCCAATTTCGTTGTGTTTTTGCAGCCGTCGTTCGGCATGATCCCATGTCCGAGGGTGATTGCACTCCAGCTGCGAAAGCTATGCGTTTAGCCCGCAGGTGTTTGAGGAGGCCAAGCCGTTGGCCACCTCCGTGTTGGACGGCTTCAACGTCTGTATATTCGCCTACGGCCAGACTGGCTCGGGCAAGACGCACACCATGGCAGGCCCTTGTGCGACAGACCAGCGTATACGGGAAGACAGATTCGATTACCTCGAACTCGGTGAGGGTGTTGGGGGCGTAGCCCGAATTTGTTCTTCGCGGGGTGCCTTGAGTGAATGACTGACGGGTCGCGCCCGTTAGCAGACAGCGTTGTTCTCGGCGGCCGAGGGCGCAATCTTCGGCGCAACCAAAAGTAGGCCACTTAATGTTGTGACAGCAGGGGTCCCAACTAATGGCGCAAGCAATGGCGCTACACATGATACAATCGCAGTTTCTACTGGGCTGCGCGTGATTTCTTCTCGCCGGTGGGGCTGGCGGTGGGGCCCAAGCGGCGAGATGTCTTATGAGTTTGGTTGCGTTGAGTTACGCTGCCGCAAAATGCCGTGCGTCTGAGGAAATGTGAGGGATACCTTTGTGCGGTTGTATCAACAGCCATGTACGCCGGCGGTCCAGGTAGCGTCAGCTCGGGTGGTCACTTTTCTTTCGCGTGCGACAGATCCTGAAGGCGTGCGCCCGAATTCCGACCCCCAGAAGACGGGATTCGTCACGATGCCAAACGCTGCGCGGGCGCCCTGGGGAGGGCGCGGTGAAGAAGCAACAGCAACAACAGTCGGGGAAACGTAAGGTTCGAGTTTGCCAGAATTCAGGTTTGCCACCGCAATCTGACGGTCCTGGCATGAGTGTTGACGGCCCAATGTTCGTGAGATGTTTGCAACCAGAGCTTGCGCCAATTTTATGATGAGGTCCCGCCATTTGTTCTAGCGGCCCTGTGAGGCACATGCGAGTTCTTAAAATTCTAGTCTTCCGCCCCCCCCCCAAGAGTAGCAGCAGAAGGATCAAAACGATCCGGTTCAGAGAGGAGGGAGGAAGAGGAAAGGAATGGGACGAGCATCAGGGGAAAGTGCCACGGGCATGAAACAAACGTACGAGCGTTTTGAGTTTGCTGTCTACGACGCCACAGGGAAGCGCGCATCTGTCCACATCGGGGCGCCTCTTGGGCCTTGCGAGTGCTCACCGTGCGCGCGCGCGTGTCCACGAGAACCCGGAGGCCAATCTGGAGCCTCTTGAGACCCTCGGGGGCCGTCTGGGGGCTTTCCTGAAGCCTGTGCAAAGCGATGTCCCCAAAGTCAGGGAAGCAAAGTAGCGCCGAAAAGTTCACACGTGTTTCAAACTACGTACATCATATGCCTCCCTTCGGGTGATTCGGAATTTGAGGGGGATGGGTGTAGTTTTCGGTGTGCGCTTGGCTTCGCAACCGAGTGGCAATATCTGCACATGTACGTATACCTGCATATCTATATATATAGGTGTGTATGTATTCACAAATTTCTACATACGCACGACAATGCATACATACACACACACGTACACGTATGCATGCATATATACATACATACAGACTTACACACATACATACATACATACATACATACATACATACATACATACATACATACGCCGGTGTGTGTTTATGAACAATTATATTGTACATCGCAGTATTACACACGAGTGTGTTGAGGGGCCGTCCCAGGGGCCTCTTGGGCCGTCTTGGGGCCCTCTTGCGATGTCTTGGAGCCCTCTTGGGGGCTTGTTGGGCCGTCCTGGGGCGATCTTGGGGGCCTCTTGGGCCGTCTTGGAGAGTCGGTATGCCGAAATGGCGAGAACGGGAAAACCTTCAAAAACCATAGAAAAAACAATTATTGTTGTCTCTTGGGGCTCTCTTGGGGGTGCTCTTGGAGGCCTCTTGGGTCGTCTTGGAGGCGTTTTGAGCCGTTTGGAAACAATCTTGGGCGTCTTGGAGCGATCGGGAGCCGTCTGGAGGCTCTCTTGGACTGCTTGGGACTCTCTTGGACCGGCTTGGGGCTTTCAGGAAGGTTTTTGACCAGGCATTGGCGAATGGAGCTAAAGACTGCGCCAAACACTCTGTCAGAGAGATCTCGCACGGCCCAACCCGCAGGGCGGGAGCGGCCAGATTCGTAAGGGCTTCGCCACCTGCCGCCGGCCCCCCTCTCTTAGAATGGGACTTGCAGAGCTGTATTGAGATGTCTGGACGCTGATGTGGATGGTTTATGGCCTCGGTGGCGCGAATATTAAGTAAGTTTCGCAGGTTGATGGCTTCGGGGACACGAATATTGCGTAATGTACTAGGGTTTGTGGCCTTGGGGACGCAACTACTATATACTTTACGAGGGTTTGTGGCCTCGGGGGCACAAGCATTGCATAAGTTACAAAGGTTGATGGTCTCGGGGACTCGAATAGCAAGTAATTTGCAAGAGTTTGTGGCCTCGGGGACGCAAGCATGTTGTAAGTTACAAAGGTGTATGGCCCCAGGGACGCGAGCATCGTGTAATTTACAAGGGATTATGACATCGGGGACGCGAATCTTGTGTAATGTATAAGGGTTGATGGCCTCTGGGACGCGAACATGATGAATGTACTAGGGATTGTGGCTCCGGGGACGTGAATATCATATATTTTTACGTGTCCCACGCCCCCCCAGGAATTCAGACCACGCGATTTGGGCGTGGTAAAAAGGCTGGTTTGGGTGTGGGGCTCCCCCACCTCGCGCGTTCAGCAACAGTTTACAGTAGGAAGCAGGAAGCAGGACTAACATTGGAGACTTGAAACTGGAACTGGTGCAGGGAGCATGAACGCCTAATCTTCGTAGCCTGATGGCCCCGCAAAGGGGCCAGCGCATTGCTACACCCATGTTGTTTGTCATCCTATGCGCAGCCTTATTGAAGCCACTCTTTTCTTGCCTGCTTGTGCTCTCTCGTTCCACCCTCCGCCGCATCCCCTGCTTGGTCAACAACATGTCGACGGAGCCGACATCGACGCTACCATAAACAGGTACTCTTCATTTCTCCAGGTCCTAGCAGCGATCCCGGCCTCAACACGAGGGTGTTGAGGGAGTTGTTCAGAATTCGCGACGAGAGGAAGGGCGAGTACGACATCAAGTTCTCCATGTCCGTCACGGAGCCAGGGAGGGAGTTGCCGCTTGCTTGCAATCCCTCGTCTCTGTTGCGGCGCCCTCCCGTCACGTCTAAGGTATCGCCTACGAGCGATATGTTCAGGCAGGAGTTTCTCGGGGCTGTGGCGAGTGAGGATGAGAAAAGCTCTCCAACCATGGGATAGTTGGGGAAGGGAGACAACGAAGAGGAAGAGGGAAACATACATGGAAGGCGAGGACATCCTCCTGCCTCTCCGCCGCCTCATTATTCTCCTCTGTCCTCCCCTCCCCTCCTCGTCCAACTCTCCACCCTAATGCTACTCCTCCTTATCACCACAATTGTCATCATCATCATCAGCAGCATCATCATCAGCCTCTGCTCCCCCCCTCCCCTCTCCCCACATGCCAGCGCACGGATTCGACATGCATCGGCGAGGGACACATGAGTTCGGGCTGTTCTCAGCGGGTACAGACTGCCAGGGTTTTGTATCGCACACATCATGGTAAGGATACATCGGTGTGACTCTTCTCAGGATGTCGCCTCCCCGCTTCCCGTCATCCCTCGTTGTTCCCTGGAGGTTTCCATAGGTCTCTGGAGGCCTACAGTGAAAGGGCCAAACGTCCCATGACTGGCAAACCCGCGATCCCAGACATTCGGCGATGTGCTCCAAGGGCTTACGCCGCGCCGCCGAACATTGGGGGCCAAGCTGTGGGGCCAGCATCAAGCGACGAATTGGGAGCGTCTTGGGGGACCCCTGGGGCCTCTTGGGGGCTTCTGAGCGGTCCCTGGGGCCATCTTGACCTCAGGGCGTCTTGGCTCGACCCCTCTTCGGGCCGCCTGGGGCGCTTCGTGGGCAGAACCTCGCCCGCGCGGCCCGCGCGGGCTGAGGTGGCCCAAAAAGCGCCGCAATCGTCGGAGAGAGGGAGGAGGAGGGAGGAGGAGGGAGGAGGGAGGTGGAGTGAGGAGGGGGGAGGAGGAGGGAGGAGGGGGAGGAGGAGGAGGGGGCGGCAAGGGAGGAGGAGAAGGAGAGGAAAAGGAGGAGGAGGAAGCAGGAGCAGGAGCAGGATAGGAGCAGGAGCAGCGAAGCAGGAGCAGAGCAAGGAGCAGGGCGGAGGCAGGAGGCAGGCAGGAGCAGGAGCAGGAGCAGGAGCAGGAGCAGGAGCAGGAGGAGGAGGAGGAGGAGGAGGGAGGAGGGGGAGGAGGAGGAGGAAAGAGGAGGAGAGGAGGAGGAGGAGGAGTAGGGAGGAGGCGGGAGGAGGGGAGGAGGTAGAGGAGGAGGAGGAGGAGGAGGGACGAGGAGGAGGAGGAGGGGAGGAGGGGGAGCAGGGAGTCGCGGAGAGCGCGCCTGCTCGGCGCAGGCGCGCTCCCCGACGACCAGCACCCACGAAGCCGAGGCGCACGGTCGCAGGTGGGCGCGAGCGGACCGCTCGGAGCCGGCGCGCGCGCCGCGCCTTGTCAGTGGCGCGCGGGGGGGGGGGGCCTGGCGCGCGAGGGGGGGCAGGGGGGCAGGGCTCCTCCCTCCCTCTCGTTGCCTCCCTCCCTCCTCCCTTCCTCCACTCCCTCCTCCTCCCTCCCTCCCTCCTCCCTTCCTTCTCCTGGCTCCCTCTCTTCCCTCGTTTCCCCTCCTCCTCTCTCTCCCTCCCTCCGCCCTCCCCCCTCCCTCCTCCCTCCTCCCCTCCCTCCCTCCTCCCTCCTCCTCATCCCCTCCCTCCTCTACCTCTTGTCCATCTTCCTACCTTTCTCCCTCCCTCCCTCACCCCTCCCTCACTCTCCGCCTCCTCCTCCTCTTCTCCTCCTCCTCCTTCTCCTCCTCCTCCTTCTTCTCCTCCGCTCCTCCCTTCTCCTCCTCCTCATCCTCCTCCGCCTCCTCCCTCCCTCCTCCTCCCCCCGTCCTCTTCCTCATACTTTTCTGCCTTCTCCATCCTCCCCCAGCCCATCACTCATCCCTCCTCCTTGCTCCCCTCCGCCCTCCTCCCTCCCTCCTCCCTCCTCGGGCCCGGGCCAATGGAAGAGCGCGCGCCGACCCTGGGCACGCGCCGACTTCGCGCTGCTCAGGGTCGGTGGTCGACGCTGCCCTTCGTCACCCGCCCGCTTCAGCCACCCTCCTCCCTCTTCCTGCCTCCCTCACTCAGTCCTCCCTCCTCCCCCTCCCTCTCCTCCCTCCCTCCCCCCCCTCGTCCCTCCTCCCTCCCTCTCCCTCCTCTTCCCTTGTTTCCCTCCTCCTCCTCCTCTTCCTTCCTCCCCCCTCCCTCCCTCCCTCTCCTCTCCTCCTCCTCCTCCTCCTCCTCCTCTTCCTCCTCCTCCTCCTCCTCCTCTTAAGGCACGTGCGCTCCTCCTCCTCCTCTTCCTCCTCCTCCTCCGTAGCCACTGTGGCTCAAGATGTTTTGTTCCACAGGGGGGCACGTGGATACCGCTGTGACCGCGGCCAGGCAACAAAACATGTTGTTTGTGAGCTCCTGGAGGAAAGACAGCCCTATCCCGTCCACGGCCACAGCCACTCTTCGAGTGCCATGGCGCCGCCGTCAAATAAATGGGCATGGTCGCGCTGCGGGAGCTGCAGCAACTGAGCGTATGATTGGAAGATCAAACACGATGGAGAATGTTGCGCGAACTGTGGTTATGTTGTCACGCTCTGGGCCGACAGTGGCAACAATGGCACAGCGGACGTTCCTCCAGGTCCTCCACGGGCCAACAAGACCAGGGGCACCTACGCGGAAGTGGTGTGCAAGTAGCTGGCCGCTGCGTTGGCGAAGCTCGGCCCCGATCAGAACATGCAGGCCCAGCTCGAGGGCCTCCAGTCGGCGATCTCCCAGAAGTGCGCTCCGAAGCAGGAGGAAGTACCCACGTCGGCGCTGCTCAAGCAGGCGATCGGCAAGGTCAACACGGCCAAATCCAAGCCCGAGTCGACTTCCAGGCGCCATGAGGATGCTGAGAAGGCAGTGGCCCAGTTACAAGAGCAGATGGAGCAGGCAGCGGCTGAGGTGTTAGAGGCGCAGCAGGAGCATCCGAAGGCCCTGGGGAAGTACAGCACGCAGTCGTTCGCGGAGGGCATATTTCAGAAGCCTCAGGATTACAACACACGGTTCCAGTTCGATGCGGCACCTTTCGAGGAGGTTGAAGACCTGGAGCAGGAACACAAGGAGCAGCTGGCCAGGTTCAGGCAGGACGCGGCGTCCCTGCAGGAGTTGCTCCACCGCGACAAAGCTCAGGAGGAAGCGATGCTCGCCATGGTTGAGACGGCGAAGAAGATCAAGGCGGATCACACGGCGAAGAAGCGCAGGCTTGATGAACAAGACTCACAACAGGATCAAGTACCACCAGTTCAGCAGCCAGAGGCCAAATCAGAATAAGTACCAACACCAGAAGTAAGTACCAACACCAGAAGGCAAAGCACCAAGCGATCCTGGAGCCCAAAAGAAGAAGGCAGAGTCGACCGCCAAACTCATCAGCGAGAACACGGCCAAGGCAAGGGCAGCGTCTACGGCTACAGCTCCCGGGTCGTCGGCTTCTTCAGGTGCTGCTGGAACTGGCACTGGTGGGCAGGCACTTTGACAAGACTCCTGCAACGACAGGGAAGCAGCTGAGGTGTACCTAGATTTTCTTCAGCAATATCACACAGTGGGGGGACAGGCAGCACAAGTTCATCAATGAGAACGCTGAGGCCGCCGAGGTTTTCGCGTTCACGGAGTCCCACATCCCGCCTGCTGGAGTGACCAAGCTCAAAAAGGATCTGAGCAAAGACGGATGGAAAGCAGCAGTTGCCGCAGCAGCACCGACGCGTCGCTCCAGGGAGGGCACCAGTGGCGGCGAGCTGCTAATAGCCAAGGCGCACTGGGCGACCACCACGCACGATGAGATGAGGGAGACGATGAACAAGCAGGGTACGAGAGACCCTTTCAGAGGATTCGCTGCCGTGAGTCTCCACCTTCGCGGAGGCAACATCGCACTCTTCTTTCTCGACCTCCTTCCAGGGGGTGGGCATGCAAGGCAGCAACTTCGAGAGGGTTAAGGCTGTCTGCGCGGTGATTGGAAGCATTACACATCCATGGATTATCATGGCCGATTGGAATCTCTCACCCGCCGCGGTCAGCCAGCCAGGGCCCCCCCCAGAGACTTGGAGGCCGCATCATCACGCCGAACGCGCAGGCCACATGTGACAAAGGTAAAGGCAGCCTCATCGGCTTCGCGATGGCACGGGAGGACATAGCGGATGGCGTTACCATCGAGGCGGAGGCGAAGGCACCCTGGAGGACGCATACGGGGCCCCCGCTCATGCTCCCAGGGAGGGCGGAGGAGGCCTGGTGGCATTGGCGCCTCGACCTGCCCCGGCCACTCCCCTTGGCGCTACCGCCGAAGCAAGCAGCAGACCCCGACAGCAAGCGCAGCAAGAAGAAAGAGGCAGCAATACTGAAACGAAGGGCGGCGCAACCAGAGCACCCCCAGGAGGATTTCAACGTGATGGAGCCGACGCCCACGCAGACCAAGCAACAGCAGGTGCAGTACGCGATAGACCAGCACCGGTGGCAGGAGGCGCTCACCAAGGCGGTGGCCCCCAACCTCACACGCAGCAGATGCACGAGTTAGAGCCGCACCTGCTCACCGCGGTGAACATCAGAAGCTGATGGAGCAGGCGATCCCAGGCGAGTATGCGGTTTGGGCCGTTAGATCCAACGTTAGAGGAGGCGATCAGAGGTGAACATTAGAAGCTGATGGAGCAGGCGATCCCAGGCGAGTATGCGATCCAACGTTAGAGGAGGCGATCATCGGTGTTGACAGGATGGAGGCGCACGAGGCGGATGCTTACCGTGGCAGAGGAGGCGGCTTTGCGGTGCGATGGCAAATGTCTAAAGCGACATCAGGACGCACGCACATGAAGCACCGGGCGGCAGAACGATGGTCGACCATGGGGGCGCCCATCACCAGGTATGCGGCGTTGAGGATCAACGAGACAGCTAGGGCCCAGCAGCAGAAATGCGCCAGGGACTTATCGACGACGCACCAGCAACTAAGGCGAATGGGTCTAGACCAAGTCTTTGGTAAGAAGTTCGACCATGACGAGGCCGACGAGAGCATGCTGAAGGCGCAGGAGGTGAAGGCGCACGCCATAGAGGAGCTGGCCATGCTCATCCATGAAAACGAGAACCACTTGGCCATTGCAGCGACGAGAGGCATTTCCACCCAGCGGCAGCAGGTCACTGAAGTGGGCTGAGCAGATGTGAAGCCTGTCGCCAGCCATACTGCACAGACATGTCCAGGAGCCAGTCAAGCCAGTCTTCGAGCAGTTCCACAACGGCGCCATTTCGGCGGATCCAGACACCCCCATGCACACGAAGAAGCAAAGGTGGCACAAGATCTGGACAGACGCGGTTGACAGAAGGGATGACATCGCGGCAGAGCTCATCACCACACATAAACAAGCACGTGCTGAAGACCTGGGCCCGATCGCGATCGAGGAGTTCGACGCGGCTGCGGCGGCAACGAACCCGACGAAGTTGGAGGTGTGGACGGGCTCAAGTTGCACGATATCAAGCGGGCCCCCTTCGTAGCTAGGCAGAAGTTGGTGGACTTCATCAACGCGTGCGATGGGGGCAGGCACGTGGCCCAGGCAGTGGACGGCAACTCGGGGGGCCGCCGTTCCCAAACCAGCAGGTGGAGAACGCGTTCTCGGCATGCAACCCTTGCCAATAAAGATGTGGAGTCGAGCTCGAGCGCCCCCCATGCAGTGAATGGAGCGACGCGCTCAGTGCGCATTGGGACACGGCGCTCAAAGGAAGCTTGGCGTTGCGAGCAGGACTACTTCAAGCATGCGTGGACGAGGCAGGGTACGAGCTCGGCATCACCAGCCTGACGCTGCTAGAGGACATCGAGAAGTCCTACGACAGTGTAAGCCCGGCGCTACTCATGAGGATTGCCAGAGCCGTGGGCTACCCCGGGGTGGTGGTCGAGATGGAGGTCCCCACGTTCGCGGCGCCTCGGTTCCTCGAGGACAAGGCGGCGCTTAGTGAGGCGATCTGGGTGGCCCGCCCCATAGCGGCGGGATCGCCAAGAGGAGTCAGCCTCGCGAAGGGATTCCTTCATCCAGTGCTCCAACGTGCACACGTTACTTCACCGTCGGCGGGATTGTGGACATTCGCCGACGACACAGTGGCCAGAAAGGAGGGCACGGAGCACGACACCCCAGATAAGACGGTCAGGCTGGCGATTGAGTTGGCCAACGTTTTAAAGCAGCAGCGGCTCAAGATCTTTGACAATACGGTCATCGCGGGTAGCTCCAGGGACATGCTCAAGGCGGTAGCCAGGAGACTGAGGCGGTGTGGCACCCCAGCAAAAGGTGTGGCGCACAGTAAGGACCTTGGCCTCGACACAGGAGCTGGACGAAAGGGAGTTGTCCGCGCGCTGAAGAAAATAATCATGACGGCAAAGAAACGATTCGGCCAGATCAACAGGTTCAGGAAAAGCACGACCTTGGCAAGAGAAGCTAAAGGTCTCTGGTCCACGGGCGCATTGCACCAGGCCAGCTACGGCCACCGGGCCTTTGGCCTAGCTCCCTCAGAGCTCCCACGACTTAGACGCCAAGCAGGTCACATGGCAGCAGGATGTCATGGCGGCAAGTGCCTCACGACGGCCCCCTCAATAGAGATGTGGGACATGGGGCCAGGCCTGGAGATTCGGAAGAGAGTGGTTTTAGAGTGGCTTGCACTATGGCAGCAGAACCTACATGCACGCGAGGGCGAAGTTGGCCTGGCCCAAGATCATGCAGAAGTTGATCAACGCAGGACGGCGACGATGGGCTTATGTCAAAGGTCCCATCACCACACTTCAGGCCACGCTCATGGATATTGGCTGGAACCCCATCAAGGCGACGGAGTGGGACAGACCGCCTCCAGAAGGTCAACTGCAGGCATGGATCGTACCGAGCGGCACGGACTCGGACTACACGCAGGACTGGGAGAGGCTCGCGATCCTGGGCGACGTTGTCAGTGATATGCGCACATTGTATTGGCAGCCGGCGTCCAAGCATGAAGATGGACAAGACCTGGCCCCAGCAGCAGATGTTTGGCGTGCCCGCAGGGAGCGCAAACGTTTTCACGACGAGGGGGCGTCTGAATTTGTCGTGCTCAACCTCATCGTCACCACGGGCGGGCACTGGACAAGAACGAGGAGACAACGCGGGGGTACTTTGTCCAGTCCAAGCTTTGCCCGAGGTGCTTGGCCAAAGAAGAATCGTTATACCATCGAATATGGGAATGCGAGAAGAACGCGGGCCACGAGGACTTCGAGAAGACAGAGAGCCTGGTGCCCCAGGCAGCGTCTCAGCACGAGGCGTCGCCAGGGTTGTGGCTGCGGGCCCCCCCGCCCGTCAGCCTCACCACCCCTGAGTTCGACGAGGCTCGCATTTCTCTCTCACTGATTGAATATAGGTCTCACGGCTTCGCCGAATGCACGGAGGCTGGCAGGGGGGTCATATTTGGAGACGGCCCGGGGGGCAAGCATTCAGATGACTCGAGAAGACGTCGTTGCGGAGCAGCGATAGTCGGGCTCGTCGATGATTCGGGAGGGGGGTGGAGTTTGGGGGAGGCCTTCGGGGTTCCGCTCATCGGAGAAGTTCAAATTATCCCCCGAGCCGAAGTTTTAGCCTTCTGCCTAGCCCTAGAACAAGTAGAGACGGACCTGCCGCTCACGTTTATAACGGATCATAAGACGATTTCCAGGACCTGGAGGGGCCGTTTCTGGCAGACCAAACCTTACAGGGGTGAATGAAAATGCATGGGCTCGGGCCCGCCAAGCGTTCCAGGGCCGTAGAGACCAGGATTTAGATGTTCAGCGGCTCCCTTCTCACCGGGAGGAGGCCTTCGCAGAGCTAGACACGCGAGAGAAACTTTGTTATGCCTCTGGCAACGCCTGTGCTGATTCGTGGGCGGGGGAGGCGGCGGAGTTGTCGTGGGCGGGGTTTGCGGGGAGAGTTCCTGACACTGACAGAATTGATGTTACAGCTTCGCCGCTCAGACGGAGGGCCAGACGAGCCCTGGCGTGGCCGGCTGAGGCTGAGGACAAAGCCCGAGCGGAGCGTGCCCCTTTTGAAGAAGGAGGTGCGACCGTCCAGGCTCGACAGTTGCTGCAGCGTCTGACCACCTACTGCAGCCCCGCGGTCACGGCGCATGTTTTTGGTGGTGCACTTTCCCCGACACAAAACTCGGGAGCTTGCGGCCACGACTTGTCCGGGGCCCCCTGCTGAAGTTTGGAGGTCCCAGGCCGCCCCAGGCGACAGGATCGCACCAACCACACGAGGGCAAGGAGTATCCGAACGGATTCACCCCTCTCACATAATTCAGTATGTGGAAAACTTGTTTCTGCATGTGTGCTCGGCCTGTGGCCAATATGTGACCGCCGACCCCAAAATTTAGTTTCCAGATGTGGAGGGAGGACCCGAAAGGTCCGGAGAACCTGGGGAGGCTGGCCAAAGGCCTCTTCCCGCGGAGAGTGGGGCCCCCGAAAGCAATTCGAGAGGCCATAAGGGCCAGAGACGAGCTGCGTGTTGTGGCTGAGGCGGAACTCAGACGTCCGCCCTCGCAAAACCCAGGAGCCGACCTGCCTGGCCAGGGTGCTGGGCCCTCAGGCAGGGGCTCAGATGGGAGCGGGGGATGGGCCCGCGGCTCACTCCTGGCCTGGTCAGGCCCAGGAGCCTCAGGCCAAAGGGGCTGGGGACAGTAGTTCCAGTGATTCAAATCGTTCCCAGGACAACGTCCGTTATCAAAGAGTCCCAAAGAGTCCTCCTCCTCCTCCTCCTTCTCCTCCGCCTCCTCCTTCTCCTCCGTCTCCTCCTCCTCCTCCTCCTCCTCCTCCTCCTCCTCCTTCGCCTCCTCCCTCCTCCCCCCTCCCTCCTCCCGCCTCCCTCATTGTGTCTCCCTTCTCCCTCCTCCCTCCCTCCTCCCTGCTCCCTCCTCCCTCCGCCCTCCTCCCTTTTCCCTCCTCCCTCCTCCCTCTTCCTCGGGCCAGGCCAAGGGAAGA